TCTTTATCCATGAGAATGGGAACCCGTTCCCGCGAAGAGCTTGAGGTACCAAACAAAACTGCATTGTCACTTGCAAGTTTATAAGGGTCTTCTGTCAATCGCTGCATGATTAATGTCCGGACCGAATGATGAAGTGTTAAATTATTCACATGTCCTTCCTTATACCGATAAATGAAATGTCATCGAAGAACGTATTTCTGGTGATTAGACACTGGTATTGATACCGTTGACCGGCAGAAGTCGATTGTACATTATGCTAGTAGGCCCCGTTAGGCTCCCTGGCTGAGGACCTCGGGATGATGGTCACCGATGGTTAGAGACACTGAGTGATATGGCTGGGTGTCGCAAACAGTGGCGCTCGTGCATCCACTCGTTATTTTCCTAACACACTCTATATGTATTCCCCATCTTCCGCTTGAATTTGCTTCGACATTCCCATCTTCATTTCGCTATTTTATCCAAATGGGCAACCAAAACCCGCGCACGAAAGTGCGTGGTTAATGGTTGTAAAACTGAAAAACTGAAACTAGTAGGTTGGGTTACCGTCAGTAATTGCCAGGAAATTAAAATAATCTGCTTGACTAGTGGTTTAATCATGTGCCAAATCTGAAAAATGGTTCCATCACGGGTACGTTTCACTGCAGTTGAAAAGTCGCGTATACTGCGTCACCGTACGATCAGTCCTGCTTTACGGTTGTGAGAGCTTGAATTTACTGATAGAAAACATTCGTCGTTTAGCAGTTTTCGGCAATTCATGCTTACGTAGTCTAGCCCAGGTTGGATGGAGTAAGCGGGTTAGTAACCAAGACGTAAGTCTTCGGGTGTTTGGGAATGCGTCGAACAACAGCTCACTGTCTCATAGAATTCAGCTCAATTGGCTCCGTTGGTTAGGACACGTTTTGCGTATATCCGACGGTCGCCTATCACAGCGCGCGTTATTTGCATTAACTGTTGCAGACTAGAGAAATCCACCAAAAGGTCAACAGATGACGTGGAGACGAGTCATGAAGAAATTAGGTAGAGTATGGGTCTCGTCTTCCAGGTTGAGATCCAAAAGACTCCGTAATCGGATAGTTGGAGACGCTGAAGGTTATGGCAGCAAACCGTCAGCAGTGGTGATCATGCTGTCACTTCTTATCGGATCAAAATGCTTGAAATAGTATGTATTCACAGTTGGACCGTGTTCTCTGTGTGCTGAATATAGAGATTTTTTTCTTCTCCCATTCCTAAAAGTAAGTCCAATCCCTATCCTCCTTGCACATTCTCACTTGCCTTGTATGCATTATCGGTTTGGCAGCGATCAGTGAAGTTCACCTCACTGTATTACGCTGTTTAACGATGATGATGTTTATAACTTTGCTGTCTTGGACACATTGCTCTACTTTCAAATTTCGCTTTTGATCGATTGATCCTATATCTATTAAACGTGGCGTAAATTTTGACGTGCCTTTCGTTGTATGTCATTACCAAATGTGCACTAGACAAGGTGTGAACCTATGAATTTGCTTGAACTGCACGGATAGTCGATAATTTTACTTGTGAATCGATGCGTATTGAAGACCGATAGCATAGTTGTTCACAATATTTAGTTGGTGGTAGCCTAATTTGCGCTATTATAGTCGTAGAGTCACTGATCTGTGTCCGTTTAGACCCGTTGCCGTGCGTTCATACACATATCCTATCAATGAGCTCTTATCTCATTCGGATACGGCAAATTGAGGCAGGTGGTCACTCTCATTAGCACCAAGTTTTACAACCTTCCCAATGAACCCAAAATTTGAAATCCTTGGGTAGTAATAAGTTGTACTTCGATGCTTAATGCAATATGAAATTCAATGAAAAATTGTGCCTACAAAAAATTAGAAGCAGTCTATGACAGTTTCTCCGCTGCTGAAGTTCGACATCAATGCGTATCCGCTGAACCCCTCAGGTTTTAAATTCCACTTCAACTGGTCTTCAAAGTTTTTTTATTGTCACCATGCGGCAACCCTGTCATCATCTTCGTGGAACGTATATTTTATCAGTGGAAAAATTCTTAACTGCTCAAACTATGTATCCTCTTAACGTGCTTCTTGTCCCCGAGAAAGCGTCTCTGATTGCCTCTGCCTCTGAACACCTATAGTTACCAAATTCTCGGGTTTGTTTTCAGTAAAGTGGATTGATGAGCCAAAGGCAGTTGACTCATTTAATGAAGCTGAAATACCCTGACTCCCGCGAAGATAAGTACGATCTGACTCCAGGGTTTCCTATTCGAGATGATCACTCACTCAGTTGAACGATGAGTTGTTATGTTGGCCACCCTAGACGTATGAACCGCTCTTCAGCGACACTCGTACACCTGCTCGGTCTCCTTGCAATCTGAGTTTACATGATTCTGTTTCCACGCCGTTTTCAATATACCAGTCTTCCCCCGAATCCCTCCAACGAAAAATTGCTCACTTTTGTAATTCCATGATTAATCGATAGACCGAAACAATTTTCTTCATCTCAAATTGGTAATATAAGTCGTGAAAAATCAAGTTATCATTTTTGCTGCACACCGTAACAAGCTGCCGTGACTGACGTCCGTTGTCTATCTAAACTGATACCAAATATTGTCCAATAAATGGAACAGCCAGTTGGATGTTACGACACGTGATAGCCACGTCAATGTGACCTAGTCAGTCAAGGTTGCTGGAAAAAAGACTGAAGTGAATGGGTAACCGAGACTGTCTGATTTTTTAAAATATTTCTGCTGGTCATTACAATGTCAATCGTCCCAGTTACTGTCAGATCACGGGGAATCAGGAACCACAGGATTGCTACCACACTCGTCACTGGCTGTTAGCTGTTTTTCTCAGCGTGATCAATTGTCGTTAATTCTTATCTACTGGAGTGCATGAGAAGCAAAACTCACTAAAATTATTCAGTAATTTCCACGCTGATCGACAGCAAAATCGATCCACACAACGTGACGTAACTGAAGATCCCGGAAGCGCAGATCCGGGAAAGTGGTATGCAACACATAAAGTGATCGATTCCTCACATTTTCTTGTTATCACCCCAAACCCTAAGTTTCATCCTCTCGTATAAACGATAACGGCATAATTGTGAGTTATTGAAACAATCGTTCGCTTAAAAATATGTTCTAGATCCAATATTTATTGTGTTATCCCCATGGAACTTTAATTGAGGGCAAAAAATAGAACGTAATATGTAAGATGTAATGTAATGCTGTAATCAAATAATTTAGAAAAAAATTGTGTGATACACAGCTTACGTTTATAATAAGTAGCATATGAATGACTGGACAAAATTCCTCAGAAGCTTCTGGGTCATTCATATACTACTCATTATAAAAATACTGAAAATCGGCCCTAGCATCGAGATGACCGAGGTTAGACGCTTCGAACCCACAACACCTGACATACAGAATCATCGCAATGATTCATCTCGAGACTTGTTCGTCTCCAATCTACTGCCCGAGCTGCAACTGAGGTTTTCATTGCACAGCTTACGTTTGTTAACCAGGTTTGTAGACTAACGTGGGAAAACTTCAGCAAACCTGTCTTTTCATTTGTGGCAAGCTTGCATGTCTTCCTACTCCATTTTTTCTGTATTGTCTACTTTTATTTTCAATCCTTACAGATTATTGTCTATTTCTTTTGTACATGCGAGGGCTGAGCAAAAGTTTCCGTATGCACAAAAGTTTTATTTTTTGCACGAAAATAAGCATCACTTCTCGAAGTATTCTCTACCAGTGTTCATTCACAGTTCCATGCGCTCAAACCATTTGGTGAAACAACTCGACCATACTGAATCGGGTAACCCTTCGACCAGTTCAGTAAAGGTCTCCACTGCAGCCGTTGGTGACTTGCATCAGATTCCATGCATCATGCGCTTGACTTTTGGGGATAAAAAGTCACACAGAGCTGGGTCTGGACTGTAGGGTGGTCTACCAACCTCCTGGATGCGTTCTCTAACCAGAAAATCACCGACGCTATGGGACCTGCGTGCAGGTGCGTTGTCATGGTGCAGCAAATGTCCCTCGTACTGCAGTACTTGGACGAAGCTTGGCAACAGCTTCCAGCACAATGGGTGGCGTACCAGTCTTCGGTAACTGTGCTTTGCTGTACGAGCGGTACAGTAACAACCACATGACCGTTTTTCGATTACCAAGACAACCACTATCTGCTTTTCCAAGCCGCGCTCCCGTCGGAATTTCGGAGACGGCTCTCCACTAACTGGCGTCCACTGAGCCGATTGTTGCTTGGTCTCCGGGTCGAAACTGTGCTCTCATCTCTCATCACCACTGATGATCTCCCAAACTTTTTTTCCATTTTACTTCCTTTTATTGAATACACAATAGTACAATTTTCAGGAAGGAGGAAGTGACCAATCAAAGAGCTGCCATACAACACACGATGCGGGAATGTCCACCATCAAACCTTGTAAGCATGGTTCGTTATCAATTCACCCGAATTACTTTCTGTTTCTCACTGAGCTGATGGCGAAACCATACGTGTGCAAACCTTTCTGAAGCCGTTCTTCTCACGCGGGATGGTGCGGATTGATCCCAATGAGATCCCGGTGGCTTTCACCAAATGTGTTACTGTCACCCGCGTATCCTCTTCTATCATCGTTAGCATGGCAGAAATGTTGTCCGCTGTGTTGTCCTCCGCAGGTTGATCACACGATATCTCACCATCCAGGGACCGCCTGCCACGCATGAATTCCGCAAATCACCCAAAAACAGTATTCTTTGAGGCGCGTCATCAACGATAGCTCGGAAACGATCAACATTCTGCCCCTAATGCTTTAAACCACATTCGATGTTCCACAAAATCATCACCCCTCCAGTGACATCCACTGAGTTTCATTTTTATAGTTCGAGTATAGAGACCCTTGTGACTCGTGCGCAGTGTTCGGCTGTTGAAATTTAAAATCACTGAACAATATTCACAATGTATTACGGTTCACGTTTTTCTTGCCCAGTCATATGCATCTCGTACGTGTACTGCGTATTAGGAAACTTGGGTGTCCCCTCGTATATATGCCCATTTACTTGATATGCAGCTATTACACCATCCATAAGTATAGAGTCGCTGCCCGTGGAAATGGGCTTTTCAGTTATGTAGAACGACCAAGCTACTGCAATGGGATTCGAAAAAAGCAGTTGCAGAATAACACGGCTCGACTTCTCTACCGCTGAATCATTGCCACCATCACTCCTGGTACACGTCAATCACCCAAACTATTCACTCCAGCCGAAAGTTTGCTTACCGTCCTCATGCGGGGGATGATGATGTTTTATACAACACTCTTCTATTGTTCTCTAATCCAAGTAGATAAATATCAAAGTCCATTTGGAATCATTACCTGAACTAAAGCTTTTTTGCTTAAGAACTTGGTTTTACGTACACTATTATTGGTGTGGTCGAGACAGTATCGATTCGATTCGATTTGTAAATAACTAGAATAGTAATAGAATAGAATAGTAATTCGTCGTGGCTAAGACAAGCTAATTTCCTCGATAACAAACCGTTTCAATCATAAATCCTGTCCCTGCCTATCGCGCAGTCTGCCGTGGTTCGTACGATTCACTGACCGATCTCCGGCGGCTCAACCTGGATGTTATCTCAAGCAGTAGTTATCCTGGAGTCAGTTTACTATTTTCTTGTACCCGTTTCTCGACACTAGTATTATAATTCGATCTGTCTTGCAAGGACTGAAACCATGCAAGCAACAGCACAAAATCCTACGGTTAAATCTGACATGCGCCTGTTTCGTACGACCCTTGTGAGATTCAGATTGAGCTGCAGTTATCGGCTTCACGCGTGAGGATGAATCGGACTGTCGTTGTGGCGGTCTATCGACCCTTCTTTCTCCCTCGCCCTCCCCACACACACTCGTCTTCTCTTTGAAGTTCCGTGCTGCAGTTACGCGGCCTTTTTACTTGCCTGGCAATAATTCACCAGTCGATAAAATCAATCACGTCATCATTTAGGAAAATACTTTGAATGTTCTCATAGTGTTTGAAAAGCACTGACTGTTTCAATTTTGCTGCACACGGGATTAGTTTCAGTTTGTGCAACCATAACCATGCACCTTTATGCGGCGGTTTTGGCTGCCCATTTCAATGAATAATAAGAGAAAGACAGAAAAGTTGAAAGTAGAGTCGAATAGGAAATGGAGAATTTCATGGGACTAATGTCGCAAAGAAATTGAAAAGATGCACGGACGCCATTGTTTACGACACTTAGCTATATCACTCAGTATCTCTGCCTCTTGGTTAAGATCATCCCGGCGAACACCGCTCGCCGTGGCAACCTGTTTGGTGACATACTCAACACATGCCCAAACCAACTAGGTGCCTAAGACTTTAGGGCACGACATACTTCGTGACAGCCCGCACCGACGAAGGTACACGGAATTACACCCTAATGTTTGTCGCACTGAGTGATACACGTTACCCGGGTCGTAATTTTGGTGTATTTAACATCAACCAAATTGAAATGAACGAGGTTGTTCGAGAACTGTCAGCAGCATATCCCTCCGCACCCGTCAGGCGCGCAGTGTTCAGACACGCATGGAGGTCAAGTTTTCCAGTTTCTTTTCTCTCCACTATAACAATCGCGTACAGTTTTTGTTGACCATTTTTCAGCAGCCCTATGGGGAAATGAGTCATTTACAGGATAAGAAGAACTAAACTGAGGGGATTGAAAAAGCCAACCCCAGGATTATATCGCTTTGTATCTTCCGATCGAGACTTGAATTGACCACCTTCAATCCGCTTTCAATTACTACTACTGTTGTGATTCTAAAAGCAGTGGCACAGCACTGATAGGCCTAAATAGGGTTCTGTACAACAAAACATCTAATCTGAAACAGTTGATTTATGGTTTCATAAAGGTTTCTTCCCCATTGGCCATCAATTCGACAATCTCTTTGTTTCTTCTGTATTTACAATAATAAATTTTTAATCCACTCCCAAGTGCCATGAAAATCCACCAATCGCCCGTATGCACACACCAAGGGCACTCGCATTTGTGGGCAGTACTTTATAACACTGTTATTGGAGTACTCCGGTAGTCCGTCAGGTGACATGCTGACGACTGATTTTATTGCTCGATTACAACTGCCCAGTCATTATACAGGTCATACATTCGGTAACATTCTTTCAGTGGATCGCCTCGGATAATCTACGTTTTTTTACTGTTCTTTCTATAGTATGAACGATGGCCGGGGTAAACCCCATCAGGCTCCACTAGGTTAGGCGTGGTATTAAACTGCACGACAGGGAGGCTACCTAGTGCTGGTGGAGGATTCCGGGCCTCGAACTCTAGGGTCCATATCATTTGGGTGACAGCTACTTAAACCGCTTGATCACCGCCTCACATGACCACATCTTGGTATCTTATTAGGAACTTAGTCGACCTATCGCGGCAACTCTTTAACCCTTGATAAACAGGCGGATGTCACTGACGTTTGCTTATCCCCTCGGATTGATAATCTATAAACATAGGGCTTTCGTATTCATGATAATTCCGTCTGTAATGTGATCGCTCCGCTAAATCTCAACTACCTGGATAACAGTTTGTCTTCCATTTCATCACCCATTAGAAGAATCCACACACTTCAAAGGTGTGAAACACCTTTTCTGATTGCTCTCTCTCTCACCCGCTCACATATGCATTCCTGAAACATTTCTTTTCACGTGTTTGTGGCATATTTGACAAAGATTAACTCAGTTCTGTTTACGAGAGGTGGTATGGGTGCTGTACCACGATTTGAGTTGTTTTGCATCAGTTATCACTCTTAGAACCACTAATTTGTCTACAAACGACAATCCGTAATGCAAATTGCGATAAAAGACAGCTAAAGTGAAAATTGATTGATCAATGTCATACTAAGCAGGTAATTCGGGAAACCGTTTTCGCACCTTCAAAGTCATATTCATGTCTCATTCGCTGGCGTTCTAGTCAACTAAGGATCAGCTGTTTGCGCTCTAGTGGTGAATTTCCAGCAGTTCGTAAATTTATACTAGTAAAACGGGTAAAAGTAACAGGATGTAAGCCTAATGTCCAGCACGAAATGCTGTCCGTAAGCAGCTGGCACTCCATGCCATCTTGTTTTCCGCGAATCGGATGGTATGGCGCTGTTCGTATGATATCTGTCCTAATGTGAGCAATGCACAACGACCCTGTTGCATCTGATTGGTACTGTCGAAAGATAATGTGTACCAACTCAATTCCGTTTTCTTTTCAGCGCATTTGCGTTTGCATACCTACCTAGTCGATGTGAAGTCGACCGGTCTCTCTCTCCCTCCCTTCCTCAGTCCGATCCGGTCTTGGCCCACGAAACGGATTTTCACCTCTTGACCTATTGCCACCCGGATGGCGTGCCAGAGTCGGAATCGTGTTTGCTTGCACGGACCTCCCTCGGTGGTAAGTGTCCCCGGGCAATTCCGTTCCGATCCTCCCACATACCAACTGACAAAAGGTACTTGCGTTTTTTGCACTCTGCCACACACGCGCGCACACACAACGATAAATTCCTCTCTTGCCACGCATGCATTTACTAACCGCCTCTCACCCTCACACCCATCCATTATGATTCTCACTGTTGGCCTGTGTGTATGTGCGCGCATATTTTCACGTTCACCGGTCAATTTGATTGCTACTATAGAAGTGATAGCGTGATTTTCGTGACCCCCATATTAACTTCAAAAGCACTATTTTGTTTTCGTGTGCATTGCATATCTATCGCTTTGAAACTTGCTTCTCGAAAATCAGTCAGGTTTGGACTCAAGAAAAGCGCCATTTGTATATTTGCTATCCCTGTGATAGTCACAACAAACGAGTTGTAGATGAGGCGGCGGCCACTATGCTTCTTACCATAACTAGCTCNGAAAAGGTTTAGACACAGAAATATTCTGGATTTTGTCATTCACATCGGGGTGTTGACTTTGCATTCCAAATTGCTAGATACAGAATTATAGAAACCATCAGCATAAAACTACAAAAACGGAGCAAGCTCAGACAAACCACATATACGGACTGATATCCCACGACTTTTGTCAGCCTGTTCCATGATCTGCATGTGGGCTGATTACTGTCAGGTTTCCCAGGCCAAGGCAGGTGATTTTTCTTGAGGAATCCACAACTGGAGCCTTTGGCTAGCCAAAACCTGACCCGTAAGGCGGCGGGACGGCGTGCGAAAACCGCGATCCCAGT